AAACTAGGCAACTAGGCCTCGAGGTTGAGGGATACTATGGAATAGCATTTACAAGGTGGCCGGAAGAAATTCATCGATCCTAGGACAATGTTGCTGGGATAAACATATTATCCAGTGACCGGGCCTCACACAATCGATATTATCTTCACTCCTTTGAGCACAGCACGAAATGAATGGCACCAGCGGCCGCAAATCGATGGTTCCAAGACACGGGCACCACAGTTCTTTGCTGTCGTTCAAGTCGCTCGTAAATCAACACTTCATGCTGAAGGTCTGGAACGAAAGCTGACACTGTTCCTTTGGCCACAAACGTTAATTCAAAAGCCAGGAACGTGACTTTGAACAACGCGCCGCGTGTCCCGGTCGGGTGCAGCTTGGTGATTCCTTCGTCCATCGATTTCTGAAGCTGCGCTCATAGGAGCTTAAGAAACTCGCCCCGACGGACTGGATGGTCTAGCCGCGACTCACATTGACGGTGCAATGTAATGTTCGGACATCGTTCGCCCAAGCGGCCTCTGCCAGCCACTCCTAGTAGACATTGATGAGTGCAATATTGCTGGCTTTCCTGCCCATTCTGGTCTTGCCGGCTCCAAGCCAAAATGCGTTCGCTGCGTTGAGACTGCTGGACAGCCTTGGTGCGCCGCTCCGACGGGCTCGGTGAACCTGGTACCGCCCGCTCGGCCAGGTCTGACGACTCGTCACTCTTCCTGCGCGCTACAAGTGGTGATCTGCTTACCCTGCTGTGTGTCGTGGGAGCATATGCGCACGCCAAGCTCGGTGGTGCCGATCGCCCATGTGACGGGATCGAACGTAACGTCGTTTCAAAGTCCTCCGCCCAAGGACGTAGACGCGCAATCACGCGATCCCGCTCGTCCCGTGGTCACGGCCGCGACTGCTCCTCTACCAGTCCCAAGGCCATCAGGCTGAAGGTCAGATACTGCCCCACTGCCGTGCACGCATGGCGTTCGTCCGCCGACCGGTCTGCCATCTCAAGGGCCTCGGGATCTCGCCAGTCCATCCGCAGGGAGACGATGGTCTCGCCCGTCGTCAGCAGCCCGTACTCGAGCCTGCCGTTGATCACGTACTTATAGGTCTGGGTGACGGCCGCCGCGGTAAGCCTCACGGCATGGTACTCGAATCGCCCGATCGGGTCGGCCGCCGTCGGAATGGTCTTGCGATTAGCCACGTCGGCGAAAATGTTCATCGGATGAAGGCCAGCTCGAAGGTGCGGCACCGTGAGCTTGTGGGTTGCTTCGTATTCCGACACGTAGAGCATGGTGCGCTGTGTCTCGCCAGCACCCTCCGACCTATAGACGCAAATCTGGTCTAGGCGGCTGCCGGCCGAAGTGGGCACGGCGCCACTGCCTGGAGGTATGACGCCGCCTAGCATACCTAATGGCATTCAGATATGCTATCAACGCTCTGGCCGTTGCGGGTCTTGCTTAGAACCCTCTCCCACAGCTACGGCTACCCAGGGCTTCAATGGCCGAGTCGCCCTGATGCTGCTGCTTCTTATTCAGCTGCTTAATATCGCTGCGCAGGTTCTCCTTCGGCTAGCGGGCGGGGATCCCGCAGACGCAGTCGATATTCTGCAACCTGCATCTCCCATAGCGCTTTTGTCCGTCGCACTGGGGGAGGAAACCGACGAGTCAGCTCAGTGCTCAGGTCGGAGAGGAGAGGAGGGCACATACCTTGGCGCACTCCTTGCGACATTCGGTACAGGCATTAGAGTTCACGATGCCGAGGCCTCGGCGCCTCTTCCTGGCAGCGTCGTGGTTAGCAGACGAGCTGCCGGGGGCTAGATACTGCTCCGAGGCGGCCGACGCGGGCTCGGAACTGGTGTGGTCTACTCAGGCCTGGCCCTAGCTTTGCGACCCCTCGTCCATCTCTGCTATCTCTTGGGTTGAGACTGGCAGAGCATTCTTGAGGGCGTGCAGAGCTCAACTCCTTGGTCGCCAGTCCATCGGCCCAAGACCAGTTGAGGTGCCGACTGCATGTCGCGACCGATTCAGGGTTCGGCGCGGCAGAATCGACAAGAGCAGAGACGTGGTAGGTCGCGGGGAGCTGTGTTGGAGCCTGATAGTTCGATGGGCAGAATGAGCGGTCCTGCAAAACGGCGGGTCATGTAGATTGGACAGCCGGTGGCGGCGACGCGTGCCGTGTGCGTGTGCGTGTGCGTGTGGTCAACGAGTGGCACGGTTGACGAGCAGCGGGATCGGTGGAAGGTGGGCGCGCCCACGAGACGTACTTAGATCGCATCGTATCCGATGGTATCGTGTCGTGTCGTGTCGTGTCGTGCCTGGTTTGGCGCTGGGCGAAGGCTCGATTGGCACCAAGACAGTGGTTTCGTGCACGTGCTGCGACGTATTGTATTTGAGCTTGGACGCCGAGAGGAATGGACGGCAGACAGGATTGCGCGAATGGCCTGGAGCTGTTTTGGGTTGACAAAATTCATTTGACGAGCGACCACACGGAACGCTGTCTGGATGTCGAGTTCCTGCCACGCGACAACCTGAAGTCAAAATGAGGCTGATTCAGAAAGTGATCGATGCTGGGCATGAACTGCCTGCGGGGCATGAGCTGGCGCAGGCACGGAAGGTTGCCTGCAGCCTACAGCCACTAGGGCGCCATCCGTCCCCTAGCAGCTTGGCAAACAAGTTTTGCGGGCCGTAATTCGACGTCAGGTCGTGGCAGGAAGTCGACTTCCAAAGCGAAACTCGTTTTGGTCACTCTCCAGACGACCGAGCTCATTTTCGAACGTGCCCCCTTCTGTTCATTTGTGGGCCGAGTGGCCTGTTTGGCACGCGATGATCCATGGACATTTCTGGCCACCAGCGCTTCGGACGCGACAGAAATGTCTTTGGGCTTGCGACACGGCATGGAGCTGGTCTTGACAGGCAGTTTGAGCTCAGGAAATGGAACGGTTCAGGAAGCGTCGCCGACCGAGACGATTGAAGCGAGGCTACGGATGCCAGATTATGCATTGCAGGCGCGACACGGCGCATCACGGCGTACAGCACATCACGGCACACCACGAGGGTATCACGGCACATGGCGGGGGCAATGTCGGCACATCACCTCACAGTGGACGTGTCACGAAATACAACTGCCAGAACCAAGTCTGCGGCTCATGGCATCTGCGATCTATTGCCATCTAACACGACTACATTGCGTCTCTGCATTGGATTTGCCTTGAAAGAGACAGTTTCGTAGCCAGCACCACGGACAGGTTGCAGAGGCCGTCTTCGCTGGCCGGTACGCGCGATTCCACATTCACGACACCTGTCGGATTCCACATCGACAGGAACACCCCGTCACAGCCCTTAGCTGGAACTCCTACTGAAGCACGCCGTTCAGCGGAACACCAATGTCTCAAGCATGCCACACAATCTCGACGCATCTGCTACTCGCCTCTCTCGCGGACGGGACGACACGGTCGGCGGGGTTTCAAGTCACGCCTGGGTAGATATCGTTTGACAGGCACCGCTGTGGCGCCCCGTGATGCGCGAGAGAGAGATGAGCAGAAGTTGGGCCGGATTAGTATGGACATGTGGATGGCAGTGTCTCCTCGGCCTTCGCATGGGCTTCTCCGGAGTAGACCGGGCGAAGGGTGGGTAACTGGTGAAATAGCTGTCTCCTCATGGAGAGGCATCCCCCGTGTGGGAGGCATCCTCCAGGTGGAAGGCATCCCCCAGTTGGGAGGTATGAAGACCTCTCAGATGGTACGAGACCGCCAGAGGGTGCCGAGAAGTAAAGAAGAAAGAATTGGAATCGGTGGGAGACCGGCCTTAAATATTCATCGCTGGACCACGGTGAGAACGCTGGAACGTTTCCGTTCTCGACAAACCAGCCCCCCTCTTTCTTGGTGTCCAAATGAATCCTTTCGTATGACGAGATGGTCCACCGCCAGAGTCGTCCGAGATCCCGGTTGATTCTGGTCGCCAGATGAGGTCAACGCAGCTGTACGGATGTGGTCAGAAGGGCAGGATCAGACACAGCGGCGAAAGGGCGATGCGACGCTTGCAAGTAAGCTACCTTTTCTTGCCTCTTCCACGACTGTGTAGGTTTATATCGACACGATG